TTTCCGTACCTAATAACATTTGACAAATAACTGATAGGCAGGACAATTATTTTCCAGCATTGTGTTTCTCCCGTCGAGACGCGTTGAAATTCAAATTAACTGTTACTTGGCCTTAACCTTCGCCCGCACATGGGGGTGGGGGGGGGGTGGATGGTTGCCACCCCCTTTCTGCTCTGCTCAGACCCCCGGCACCCCCAGACCTCAGGCATAGACCCCCTTTCTGTCTTTCTGCTCTGCACTCAACATTTTTAAAGCTAGAAGCCTGATTTTTTCGTATAGCTGCTCCTCTATCCTTTCTTGATGTTCAGTGTCCACTGAAAATTTCAAGTTTCTGTGGTTTTTGGTTTTGGAGATATGACCTTGTTTTTCAGGTCATGTCATGACCCAAATGACCAATTCTCAACATCTTGCGTTGGCTATGGGCCTTGTGAGCTTTTGACACCTTGATTTCGGCCTTTTTTGCCAGTCTTACCTCCCACCTATCATGGAACATGTTGTTCGACGATGTACAGATGTCAAGGTCAGGGTGAAGGTCAACCTAGGTCATCTAAGATAATTGCGTTTTAGGCAAGCTCAATTTACTTTTCGTGGAGTTTTTTGACTGCATTTTTGGTAAAAGCTTCTCAGATCATGATTTCATGTAATATGGACCCAAAAACAATGGGGAATATTTGTTTCTGGTCCCTAAAAAGCTGTTTCTGGCACCTAATTGCTGATCAGCCCCAAAATGCTTATTCGACCCTAATATCTGAATCTGGCACCTAATTGCTTGCACACAGCCTAAAGTTGCCAGATCGTCTAGTTGAACTCCGTATTTGCTGTTTGCTGATTCAGCACCAAAACCAAAACATCCAGCACCTATTTTATTCCACGTTTGCCTACCTAATTCGCGTAATCTTCCTGATTTTATGTATCCTAACAACATGAACGTTGCATTCGGTGATGTCAAGTGCCACTTTCGCCAGTGGAGATAATGATTAATGCATAGGCGCGGGAGCCGGGGGGGCAGTGGGGGCAGCTTGCCCCCCCAACTCTGGGGCCGTGGGGGCGGTGCCCCCACAGCTTTGAGACGGAATACCACACTTTTTTTTGCAAATGTTTTCTTTTTTGTTGAAAAAGCCGAGGGGTGAAAAATAAGTGGCCTAAAACCGGTGAGAAAACTAGATTTGGGGGTACCCTAGGTTGATCTCTATTATGGTGTGCCCCCCCCCAGTCGGAAAGTAGTTCCCGCGCCCCTGGATTAATGCCATTTCTAGCCAAAAGAGAATCACTAGCCAGCTATGGTGCAGCATAGCAAGACGCTCCTATACCAGCCCGCTATGTAGAGACTAGAGATTATTGCACCCTCAGCCATTTTAACGTGAAAAGTTTGGATCCGTCACTTCCAGCCAGGCTCTCAGGTCATAAACTGGAGTTAAGCAAAATGTCAACTCTGAACAGACATGCCACGCAACCGGCCCTCTTTTCAATATTATTAGCTTTCTGGCCTGCAATCATCGTCTGACTCCATCTCGATCAAACGCAGAATCCGGTTTCTACAGGGGCGTTTGACTGACCGGCCACACAATAACCAAAAACAAAATCAAAGCTTCATGCACACATATGACATAAGTAAGAAACGGTCAACGGATGAAAAAGGCACAACCACGGCACAACTCTGCGCGGCAAACAACGGACAATGTCCCACGCAAGATCCCGCGTTTCTTCAGCGGCCTTGAACGGAATGAAAACAGTACATTTCTTTTTTGGAGCTATTTGATGACGTCAAAAAATACAATACCCGTTTTAATGGTCAAAATCGAGACAATTACTCACAAAAATGTTTCCCTTTAAGCATTACAAATAAATACTTTTAAATATTTAAATGACATTGTTTTTTTTCAAACAAATCAATATTATTTGCTTACTTAAACGTCATATACAATGCTGAGATCACTACGGGGCTGTCTTAGAGTGTAGCTGCACTGGCAACCTTTAGGCTAGACTCCAGGGGTCATTATACCAGAACAACATGATTCTACCAGCCAGTAGTGCATTTTTCTACTAGATTGGTGCTACGCTCAGCATTTAGGTGCCAGATTCAGAAAAAAGAGTAAGGCGTACCGATGAATAGGTGCCAGAAACAGCTAATTAAGGTCATTTTCCATGATTGGTGCTGGTATCCACCAAATAGGTGCTGAGGACTAATTTTGGGGCGAGTCAGCTTTTAGGTGCCAGAAATAGCTTTTCTGGGACGCAATTAAATGGCGTCCAAAAACAATCGGTGCACACATCAGTATACACACAGACACACACAGACATACAAACACATATAATTGACCTTGACCTAACTTGACCTGAAATGACCTCAGCAGCAAAAACCTGGTCGGGTAGTGTGACAAAGAGGTTCTAGCTGGCTTGGCACCAGAAAACGGCATCGTCATCGGTAAATGATAAGCAGCGCACTTGATAGGTAACCAACGGTGACCCAAAATAGCAACATTTTTTAGTTTGACCTGACCGTCCAGGTGGAAGGTCCAGGTGGAAGGACTGACCTGAGAAGGTAGAACTGGTTATCATTGGATTCGTCTCTTCCCAAAGAATCTTTTTGGTCTTTACCGCGAAGCTCTATCTCCAACAGGAACGAAATGGCGCGGGGGGTGGCAACACCCCCCCCCCCCATGTGCGTTCTAGGATGGGAAATGGCATGTGCGGGCGAGGGTTAACCCGCGCCGGGCCGGTGCTCTGAGATTCCGCGCCGGGCCGGGGGGGTGTCTGAACACCCCCCCCCTTCTAACTCGGCTCCTGGGCCACGTAGCGACACGCGGTAAGCGGCAATCGAAAGAACGTCCAAAATAAGGACGATAACACACGGTAATTTTTTGGGTCAGGTGAAAGGTCAGGTCACCAGAGGTCACCAAAGGTAAAATGTTGACTATTTCAACATTTTGGAAACTGCCAACGGCTATCTCGGGAACCGATAGAGCTACAGCGCCGCGGAAAAGCGCATTCGATAGCCCTTTTACAGACCTTTCTGAATAATGTTATCAGATTTGACCTCAGGTCAACGGTTTAGCCTCCAGAGGGCAAAAACTCCAAAAATAGCCGTTTTTACGAAAGCGGTTTTTCGGCTATAACTTTTGACTCAAAAGAGCCATGACAAAACTTTTGCCAGCATCGTGTTCCTCTCGTCGAGACGTGTCGGATGAACTAGGTATAATTTGACCTTGAAAGGTCCACTTTAAAATTTGACCTCAGGTCAATGTCATGACCTGACCGGAAAAGGTCATGTTGCATATCAATCGATCTGCAACGTCGAGCCGAACACATCTAAGGCGTTTTCAGCGCTCTAGCACGTCTCTATCAGAAGTTATTAGCGAAAAACTGTTAGATTCTGTTCGTGACCTGAGATGACCTCGGGGACATAACGAGGGGTCACAGTTGCCATTTTCCGGCTCAGTGTGTCAATTTAGGGGAAGCCGGGGGAAGCCCGGCATAGTAAGCTCTTTTTCATTTTTATTACATACCATACGTGCTGTATAAAATGTTGATATCCTGCTAGCTAGCTAAGTTCATTGGCCGTGTTTTCCCAAAAATTCGGTTTCTTGGAATAAGTATAAGGTTGAGAAAATCGAGTTTTAAAAAAGTGTTGATTTTTCTGGGGTAAGCCCGGCATAGGGGTAACGCCGGCCACCTCCCCAGCGCTTTACAGCGAGTTGATGAAACCATTATGTGTGTAACAGCTGAATGCTGTGACATTTTTTTTCATCAAAATCTCACCTTTTTCATACATATAAACTGCCTCACATAGTACCCTGTCTGCCGGGACGCCGGAGCCAAGGAGGAGACCGGGTCACACGCCCGAGCAGCTGCTGCCATTAAGGCGGCTGACGCCCCGAGATCAAACGTTCGCCGACGGGTGGAGTACACACAAACCATCCGGCGCCGAGCCAGTCCGAGACACTCCGGCGCCATGACATCCGTTCGCAGCAGCTGTATGGGCCAGCCGCCCCCACCATCGCTAGAGCCAGGGCAGGAAGGGCATCCGGTGCAGGCTGGTGTAAAGGAAACGTCGCATCCGGCGCAGCCCAGAACCGACACCCGGCGGAAATCGAGTGTGAAAACGTCACATCCGACACCGGCAACGGGGGCCGACTCCAGCGGAAACAGCGGAGGAGGGGAGAAATCCGAAGCTTCGGCCACGCCGGACGTGCTTCCTCTCGAAGCCCCGGTCAGGGGGCTGCCGCCGGAGATCAGCCAGGAAAGGACCGATTAACTGTCCCGGTCACAGAAATCGACCCCCCGCCGGAACCGGATAACCAAAGGAATAAAATCGGACCGCAGAAGAGGAGAGGGACAGAACACCCGGGGAGTCTCTGCCGGCTGGACGAGTGCTCTCTTCCTCTGACTCTCTGGTGCAACACTCATCAAGAACAAGACCAATCTTCGACGCCGCCAAAATCAAGTGAGTCATCAGCAGAAGGCTGCCTGCCACTCCCAGCCCTCCAGCCATGCCCACCACACACGCATTCTCTCCCCCTTCCCCCATATCTACCGGGCGTCTACCCCAGTCTAGACCTACCGTCCCGTAGGGTCAGGCCTTGCCACCATTAGCAGATAGGGACAGCTGCGGGGTTGAATGATGGGAATCGGGGGCGGCAGTGCGGCAATGGTTCATTTACATTTGCGTCGGAGCCGGGACCATTTGCCGACCATTTACGCTCCTTTGTACGCGACCGCCAGGGCCGGGGGTAGGTGTGAGGACGGGATAGGAGGGGTGAAAGTTCTGACATCATTAAGTGACGTCATGCGGCATCGGTCCCCGTCCGTCGGGCCAGCGCGCCGCAAATGGTCAAAACCATCTGGTAACGTGTCACTTGAGGCGCCGCGATGCTGTCACTAATTAAGTCTAGAATTAAGAATAAGGCAGGCCGCGTTTGTTGGGGTTAGGTTTAAGTAAACAACGGGATTGACAAGTTGACAATCTCGAGTACGATTTAGCAATAGCACATTGGGTAGTTTTGTCATAAATTGTCCGTGTAGTGTAAAATAAAGCGTGAAAAATTAAACAACCTGTCTGGGAAAGGGAATGGGTAGCTGTATTGCGTTGCGAGACGAGTATCAAGGAGGTCATTGATGCCAGAACCATCCACTTACGATCAGTAGTCACATGGTGGAAATATGACACCCCGCACTGCACACACAGCGACCGAGGTTGAGTACCACACGCAGCGGAGCGGTCGGTCGGGCCAGGGGGTCAACTGTCACCACGACGGAGCTATGAGCGCCTGTCTGGGCGTATAACACAGAATTGAGTCAGCAACACCTCATTTCGCAGTCAATCCGGCACACCGAAAGCAGAGAAGATTAATGTCGTCCAGATTTTCACGAAATGAACTGTCATTTGGTGCTAATTCCAGTCACCTGCACGCAATGTTATATGTTTATGCGGAATTCCTTAAAGTGTTCTCCCTTTTTTTATCCGCCTCACCAACCGTCAGCCTACCAAATCGTGCCTTGTTCCGCCTAATTACCATCAGCGTTCATAAAGATGTGACGAACCCACGCACCCCAGACTTGAATTGAAATTTAACGTCAGATCGCCGCCAGTAGTAACTTGATGCCTAATATAATGCCGTCTATTAATGAAATGTCTCAAGGAGTCAATAAAACCAACCTTTAAAGTAAGGTGAAACAAGAGGCGCAGCTCATGGCATATCATCATGTAAATTCCTGTAAATCAGCGCTTGATCCCTGGGCAAGGATATCTTCAGCGACCGGTTACATTTATCCTTGCATTGAGAACCCAAACCAGTCATAGCTTACTTTTACGCATTTTGTCATACCCATGATAGACGCCTTACGTTACCTCGAGGAACGCAAAGAGGTCACAATTACTTCGTATGCCAGTGGTCCATTGGTGGTGTGCCTAGAGTTGGTGTAGAAAGATTTCAGAAGCCCAAAATCTGAGTAAGAACTTTTTGTTTCTTGAAATCGTCCCAATCGAACCGTTCAATACGTATTACAAACCGTTCAATACGTGTTAATACAGGATTTCTCTAACAAGAATAGGTTACAGGACAACTGATAAGGGGGTTTCCCACTCCGTAGTAATCAGCATTCTAAATCGTGTTTGTCTTATCAAGTTTAAGTATCGCCTTCCCAGACCCCTGAACGCGCTGCACGACCTTAAAATTATTCAACAACGACAAAGGGGTTCGTGCAACGAACTCAGTAACGTTCATAATTGGACCTCAGTTCGATGCGGTTAGCTCGGGTTTTCGGTAATCTTTCACGGTTCCGCGCGAAGCCTTACATTCCTGGCTTACTGCAAAACCCATCCCACCAGCACGAAAGGGAAGGGCCACTTTGGCATGCACAAGCGTCAATTCCACTTGCGGTGTGACCCCTGGTCAGAACGACACGCTGCCAACGCCACCTACATCTCTAACGTCGGCCGGTGCGTTCCGTTGTCAGTGCCACCACGCAGACAAGCTAAGCACGCGCTCGCCACCTAGCGTCCGGTATACCAAGCTTTAGTTTCCAGCCCTGCCGTGAGAGATCGCAGTTGTGCGTATAATCTTACCAATAAGTCAGAAAAATCGTGATAACGACGCAAAGCTCCGTATTATTCCGGTATCTTAATACATTAACAACTTTGAATTAACCTGAATTAACCAAAATTAGCCCTTGTAAGCATAAGAATACCTCAAGGTTCTAGCAGCCGGATAAATTACACTATCTCTTTGAGAACCAGATCGATCTAATCTTATTCTTAACGACGCAGATCGATCAAGGAAGTCGTTGAATCTCACGCCATGGATGCAGCTGATACCACCGCCGACCGGAGAAGCGTGGCGATTTACACAGCTCTCAGTTGTGCCCCCGACGCGATCAATCCGGCACGCCGTTTGGTCATCCTGACTGGGAAGAAATGATAATTCGAGTCAGGTCAAATCTACCAATTACCAAATGGCAACGTCCGATTCCATTCATCTGAAGAATCATATTCACATCGGAGAACGTAATGGCAAATCGCTGGTCGCTGAAGGGGTGAATCATTAACATGGTCACTAGTCCGTCAAACGGTGCGGGCTACCTAGGAAATCCTTACACTTATCCCCAATATTGGTCAAAAATCCGAGAGAGGTGGGATACTGTGTGTCAAAGTTGAACCCTGAATTATGAAACGGGTGCGTTACTCAAGTCAAACATGGCAAACAGTACTTAACTAAAGTAGGGATTGAAATGCCTCATTGTGTCAACTAGCAGGGTGCATCTTCAATGAACGAGAACTGAGGGGACTACTGCGGTAACGCTCACTGAATTGCAGACTGTCAGATTCCAGTAACATTAGGAGTCAGGGGAGCGGCTGTGAGGTTCGGACAGCGCCTGGTCTACTTTCGGTGTCATTTGCTCGTTGTATCAGTCTAGTTCGAGTGAATTTTTAAAATGTTTGATGGTTTCAATTGGCTATAAGTTCAACTTCCATGTACCATAATTTAGATAAAATTTGTGAGGCCATCTGCCATAGGTGATAGCCATAGGTGAAATATTCTAAGCATCATTTCATGTAAGCGCATGATATTGAATCTTTTCACTGATTGATGGCAATTATGTGAGCGATTGATCCCCACACAAAGATAAATTTGGTACAATGAACAGGACGTAGGCGTGATCCCACTCAAATCTGGGCAACCGATTGCGTTTGTGTTTGGAAATCGCACCTGAACAAAAATTAGTCAGACATGCTCCATCACACCGCATCAAGGACTTAACAGCCAGACACAAACTAACGGGAATTTGAACCCCAGCCCTACTCCCAGCATGAGAGCAACATCTCCATAGAAGGTACTTTGATTACACCCCTTATACAAACATTTGTTAAATCATTCAGATATTTAAATTAGAAGGATTACATGATAGCTCAATTAACGTACACCAAGGTGAGTTAACTTTTGTTTTGTTTTGCCACAAGCACTCCCTATAGCTGGCCTGGTAAACATCAAGGATCACCTGTCCCGTTGCTATTGACACAGCCGATGACTGATGAGCAGGAACAACCATATGACCTTGCCGCGCCGAGCCCCAGATGACCTCCACCCCGATCTCATGTGCAACATGGAAAGCTACTGAATATGTTATGTCAGGAAGGCATCAAATTTTGGCTTATCCAGTTTTTTAATAGCAGCCAAGAAGTAAGGCTATCAGTTCAATCCGGATTCAAAAGGGTCCACCCTGCGAGACCTGAGCAACTCACCCGCATTTCGGAATCTCTGTATTGTTTAAATTATTTGATGTTTTAATTATTTGTTCATGGCAAAAGTAACCACTCATTATATCAAGTAATATACGCTGAATGACTTGTATTTTTTTTGATTGTTTGCAATCATATCCGACCTGAACTAAATTCTGCCCAACAGATAGTACCTACAAGAACCCATTCATATTGTGCAGTGAATTCAAACTTGAGCCTCACACGTGGGTCTAGCAGGGCAAAACAAGTGAATTATATGACATATCTCACGAAATTCAAAAAAAAGGGCAGTCAATATATCATTTGAAATTGAGCTGAGTCCGGAGAATCAAATTGAGGTAAATTTTTTGCGCACACCTCACTTACCAGTTCGCCATAAATACTTACGAACCAAGAGGAATTGCGGTAAAGATCTAGGTCTAATATCAAAATTTATCGATAACCCCACCCAATTTACAGCGAAACTAATAAATTTCCACAATTATCACCGAGTCCACGCCGCGGCAAAACCCAACATTTGAAAACCAGCGTGGGTTCAAGGTTAGGGGATTGCGCGAGCAAGATATGCCAACCGAACGCATTTGGTAGCCGAGATCTGCGGTGTCGGCCGGGCGTAAAGCTTTTCCTTCACCACACAGTTGTTGCGCAAACTGCCAAAGTTCCTGCCAGGATATCATAATCCGGGAGTGAAAGAGGGATAAAGTTTCAGCCCCCGTAGGTTCAATGATTCGTTTACATAAGCCCATCTGCTTATCAGGCCATAAGGTAGGTAAAGAATCTGAGTCGCAAAGGGACTGGCCAAAACACAGACCCCGAAATATCACGTTCTTTTGTTTATTTGTTAAGTTAAGTTATACAAAATTTTGAAATGCGGTTACACGATTACGGTTCAAAGGGTATAACACATTTTTTTTTTGTTTTGTTAAAGTCACAACATTGCAAACAAAAGGATTTACCAAGGCGATCACGTGACCGAAGATATAGTGGGGGTTGGAACAAACGCTTGAAGGGTTTAAATCTTTGTCTATATGGGTTCCTTGATTAAATTGAGGAATCGCGAATCGTTCCCTGATGTACAAATTTTTGTGTGTAGAATTTTTTCCCCCTCCAGCAAAAATTATATGGGTTAGCCTGGGCCCTATTTCGCTGCCGTCGCAGTACTCCGTCTTGGAACTCCGTCCAGGGCTCCCCCAAATTAATCCGACCTATCTGTGGTAATTATCTTGATGCCGTTCTCCAAGGGCCACGATTTAAAAGACGTCACGAGTCAACTCCCTTGCCAAGGTCAACACTGAGCAATCATAAGAAATAAATGACGTCACTGGTGGAAGTCCATGATGCTTACCAAATTATGGGCGTACTGACGGGCGTAACAATTGTCGCGGAAATAAAAGTTACGTGACTGTTCCTCGTTATTCGATACGTACAAGTCACAACTGCAATTTGGACGAATCTCGATGAGATGACTGATAGACACCGACATACACCTTCATGAACTAGACAGGTAAGGAGATACCCAACTGATTTCCGTGGAATGCTTAGGTATCCCTAACCATGGAGACCAAGGATATGCAAGGAAGTATAAGATTGATGCTAGCCGGAGAGGAGGTATGTTGCAGCACTTCTATGTGCTTCTAACTCTCTGATACGTCGGAACCTGCTTGGACTGGGATAGTCCCTCGTTGAAAGGAAATAATTTATGGTAGTTGAGCAAATAGAACGCCATAAGACGCCCAACAGAGAGGTGAGTTCGTTCAGAAGACAGAGAGTCAGACAGGGGCGAGGGAGCACCCCGCTGAAGGTGAGTGGTAAATACGAAGATGATAGAGGATAAGGCGAAGGAAGCAATACCGCCGGGATGAGGTGAGTCCACCGTCGGAAGGATGGCAGCATGTATCATTCATGACGCTAACGCGTTTGAACACACATCTGCAGGATAGAATTCCACGGCGTCGGATAAAATTGCAGGATAGATTCAGTCATGGAGTCTTCGAGTCACACCGGTCAATGATTCAAAGGCGCCACTTGCGGGTGCCATGACTGCATGAGAGTACTGAGTAGGTACCTGTCTATGAGCCCAGTGAGACTGCGGTCGTCGGGGCGGCAGGGGTTGTGTCCACCGGTTCGTTAGGTGAAAACGTGTAAGACGGTCTCTCACAGAAGGGCTGCAAGGGTCAGTAACCAACGTCCGGCCGCGGGATTTTAGTAGGGAAACTGAGACGTGCCGTGAGCGGCAGGAGAGAGAGAGAGAACCAATCACACCCGTCGACGAACGCTAATAACCAGTCGCTACACCGCGTCGTACCTTTAGACAAGTAATCCGGGTCGAGTGATGTAAGGTTCTAGGCTAAATGGCCGAGAGGGGCCAAAGGAGGGTGCTAGGACGGGCACCAAGAGATCCAGGGTTACAGTGGGGCGCAATAAGTCGTTGTGAGGTGTGATTGAGACAAGAATTATTTTTTTTTAATCCCCCTTACATTTAACACGGAATCCAAAAAAAAAAACACTTACGTTTATGGCACTTCTATGCACCGCTGGAGGGAGTAGATTTATCGTTGGGAGGGACCGAGAGGTCAACTCGGAAGGAAATTCATCGTAGCGGGATGGGTGTTGTATGAAAGGAAGTGTGCGTCGGTGAAAGATTGATGTACGCGTCGGTAGAATAAGGACCAGCGGGAGATTTGACCCTCAGCATAAAGGTGACCTTAAACTGGGGCATAATCTATTGTTCTTTCGAGACAAAGGAGGAAAAACAGAAGGATTGATTCGTATTTTTATCCTAATCAGACGGTGGCTAAGGGCTGACCCTTAAACGGGAGGCATCAAAATTTGTTGATAGGGGGAGACTTCCACATCCCAAAATTCCTTACGATGCAGACACCATCCCAGGCAGGAAGACTATATGTTGACAAGCGACAAGCCAGCCTCATTATAAATATTGTTTGTGACGAAGCCCAGGCACAAGGAACGGTGGCGGAAGGGAATCGATCAGCTTGAAACCAACGGACCGATCATCACTTGGAAATGGGTGTGTAATTACGTTTGAACAAGAGAAAAATCAAACAGCAAGAGAGTCAACGAGTTAATCAACAATTTGTGGATCTACCAGCCTAAAACACTCACCTGAGGTTGTTCCAGAGCACGGCGCAGGTCGGCAACCATCTCGGCAAGAAAAACACCCCCGATGAAAAAATTTTATTATTAAACAAATTTTTTTTGAAAACATACTCCCCACCGCTTCCGGACCCCCAGGGGGCAACATCACATTCGTGGCGCCCAACGTGGGGCAATGGCTTTGTTGCATGCAACATGAAATCAGCAGAGTTGCACATACCCGAACCCAAAGGAAAAAATTCAAGTTCGAAGACTGGAGGAGCTATGGAGAGGAAACACGTTGTATGCACTATCTGTGAAGACAGGATATCATCCAACAAGTCCTGAGACGCTACGACCCAGAGGAGTTGCAATCCAGTTGCATGCAACATGCAATCAACAGAGTTCCATATACCAGAAGCAAGAAAGAAAGAAAACAAGATCGAAGACTTGAGACGCTGCGAAGGAGTAAGATATTACAGCTAGGGAGATTGTCGGAGCCCAATGTTCAGGAATATTGCAGCCTTGTTGCATGCAACACGCATTAAAAGCTGCATCAACCCAAACCTAAGAG